TTGATTTAAAGCTTTCGTGACTGGAGTGATTCATGTTCTTGGCTCTTTCGGTGGAGTCGCATTGGGGGGAAGCAATAGATTAATAGAATATCTATGTTTGTTGTTTTGTTGTTCCCCTTCGGCGTGGCTTTGCCGAGGGAGCTAAGAACATGAATGCACATTACAATTCCTTATAGGGGAAACACATACTAATTAATGGATTGCTAACATGGCATATACTCACTAACACACATTACAACTAATTACTAATCTACAACTCATTACTAATCATAACCATTGACTGATTACCAATCGATTATATAATTACAATACCCACTCCCCTCCGCCTCTAATCACTGCACCTGATATGAGTTAAGTGATGACGTCACCCTGCTGCTACTCGATATAAAACCGGGAGCAAGCGAGGGCTTTACCATTCTGGCGAATTGCCCGATGATGCTGGATGTAAATCACCAGCGAAACGTCACAGTACAACTCAAACTGTAAATGTTGGGATTCACTTCAACACACCGGTGGGCTAAAGTAGTGAACTAATTTGTCTTTTGTCAACGTGACACTTTTTTTGCTGATTGGCCGTGTCGGGTGGTGGAGGGTTACGACACATTTATAAATAACGCGATCTAACCCAACAACCTTTATTATGGAGTGTATAGTATAGTGTAGAGTATAGTGTAGTGTATAGTAGTGGAGTGTATAGTATTGTGTAGAGTAGTGTATAGTGTAGTGTATAGTATAGTGTGGAGTGTATAGTGTAGTGTATAGTATAGTGTATAGTAGTGGAGTGTATAGTATTGTGTAGAGTAGTGTATAGTTTAGTGTATAGTAGTGGAGTGTATAGTATAGTGTGGAGTGTGTAGTATAGTGTGGAGTGTATAGTATAGTGTGGAGTGTATAGTATAGTGTATAGTAGAGTAGTGTATAGTATTGTGTAGAGTAGTGTATAGTGTAGTGTATAGTATAGTGTGGAGTGTATAGTATAGTGTAGAGTGTATAGTATAGTGTAGTGTATAGTGTAGTGAATAGTAGTGGAGTGTATAGTATAGTGTAGAGTCATGTGTAGTGTATAGTAGTGTAGTGTGTAGTATAGTGTATAATGTAGTGTATAGTAGTGTAGTGTATAGTGTATAGTAGTGTAGTGTATCGTGTTGTGTGTAGTAGTGTAGTGTATAGTGTATAATGTAGTGTATAGTGTAGTGTATAATGTAGTGTAGTGTATAATGTAGTGTGTAGTGTATAGTTGTGTAGTGTTGTGTATAGTGTTGTGTATAGTGTTGTGTATAGTGTAGTGTATAGTGTAGTGTATAGTGTAGTGTATAGTAATGTAGTGTATAGTGTAGTGTATAATGTAGTGTATAGTGTAGTGTATAATGTAGTGTATAGTGTGTAATGTGTATAGTGTAGTGTATAATGTAGTGTAGTGTATAATGTAGTGTATAGTGTAGTGTATAGTGTATAATGTAGTGTATAGTGTGTATAATGTAGTGTAGTGTATAGTGTAGTGATAATGTAGTGTATAGTGTAGTGTATAGTAGTGTAGTAGTGTGTGTAGTGTATAGTGTAGTGTGTAGTGTATAATGTAGTGTGTAGTGTATACTGTAGTGTAGTGTATAGTGTAGTGTATAGTGTAGTGTATAATGTAGTGTATAGTGTAGTGTATAGTGTAGTGTATAATAGTGTATAGTGTAGTGATAGTGTAGTGTATAGTGTAGTGTGTAGTGTATAGTGTAGTGTATAGTGTAGTGTATAGTGTAGTGTATAGTGTAGTGTGTAGTGTAGTGTATAGTGTAGTGTATAATGTAGTGTGTAGTGATAGTGTAGTGTATAATGTAGTGTGTAGTGTATAGTGTAGTGTATAGTGTAGTGTATAGTGTAGTGTAGTGTATAGTGTAGTGTATAGTAGTGTATAGTAGTGTATAGTGTAGTGTATAGTGTAGTGTATAGTGTAGTGTATAGTGTAGTGTATAATGTAGTGTATAATGTAGTGTATAGTGTAGTGTATAATGTAGTGATAATGTAGTGTATAGTGTAGTGTATAGTAGTGTAGTGTATAGTGTAGTGTATAATGTAGTGTATAGTGTAGTGTATAGTGTAGTGTATAGTGTAGTGTATAATGTAGTGTATAGTGTAGTGTATAATGTAGTGTGTAGTGTAGTGTATAGTGTGTAGTGTAGTGTATAGTGTAGTGTGTAGTGTAGTGTATAGTGTAGTGTATAGTGTAGTGTATAATGTAGTGTATAGTGTAGTGTATAGTAGTGTATAGTGTAGTGTATAGTGTAGTGTATAGTGTAGTGTATAGTGTAGTGTATAGTGTAGTGTAAAGTGTAGTGTATAGTGTAGTGTATAGTATAATGTAGTGTATAGTGTAGTGTAGTGTATAGTGTAGTGTATAATGTAGTGTATAGTGTAGTGTAGTGTATAGTGTAGTGTATAATGTAGTGTATAGTGTAGTGTATAGTGTAGTGTATAATGTAGTGTATAATGTAGTGTATAGTGTAGTGTATAATGTAGTGTGTAGTGTAGTGTATAGTAGTGTAGTGTATAATGTAGTGTATAGTGTAGTGTATAGTGTAGTGTATAGTGTAGTGTATAGTGTATAGTGTAGTGTATAGTGTAGTGTATAATGTAGTGTGTAGTGTATAGTGTAGTGTATAATGTAGTGTGTAGTGTATAGTGTAGTGTATAGTGTAGTGTAGTGTATAGTGTAGTGTATAGTGTAGTGTATAATGTAGTGTATAGTAGTGTATAGTAGTGATAGTGTAGTGTATAGTGTAGTGTATAGTGTAGTGTATAGTGTAGTGTATAATGTAGTGTATAATGTAGTGTATAGTGTAGTGTATAATGTAGTGTATAATGTAGTGTATAATGTAGTGTATAGTGTAGTGTATAGTAGTGTAGTGTATAGTGTAGTGTATAATGTAGTGTATAGTGTAGTGTATAGTGTAGTGTATAGTGTAGTGTATAGTGTAGTGTATAATGTAGTGTATAGTGTAGTGTATAGTGTAGTGTGTAGTGTAGTGTATAATGTAGTGTGTAGTGTAGTGTATAGTGTGTAGTGTAGTGTAGTGTATAGTGTAGTGTATAGTGTAGTGTATAATGTAGTGTATAGTGTAGTGTATAGTAGTGTATAGTGTAGTGTATAGTGTAGTGTATAGTGTAGTGTATAATGTAGTGTATAATGTAGTGTATAATGTAGTGTATAGTGTAGTGTATAGTGTAGTGTATAATGTAGTGTATAGTGTAGTGTAGTGTATAGTGTAGTGTATAATGTAGTGTATAGTGTAGTGTAGTGTATAGTGTAGTGTATATTGTAGTGTATAGTGTAGTGTATAGTGTAGTGTATAGTAGTGTAGTGTATAATGTAGTGTATAGTGTAGTGTATAATGTATAGTGTAGTGTATAGTGTATAGTGTAGTGTATAATGTAGTGTATAGTGTAGTGTATAGTGTAGTGTATAGTGTATAGTGTAGTGTATAGTGTATAGTGTAGTGTATAGTGTAGTGTATAGTGTATAGTGTAGTGTATAATGTAGTGTATAGTGTAGTGTAGTGTATAGTGTGGTGTTGTAGTGTATAGTGTAGTGTGTAGTGTAGTGTATAGTGTAGTGTATAGTGTAGTGTATAGTGTAGTGTATAGTGTAGTGTATAGTGTAGTGTATAGTGTATAGTGTAGTGTGTAGTGTAGTGTATAGTGTAGTGTATAGTGTAGTGTATAGTGTAGTGTATAGTGTAGTGTATAGTGTAGTGTATAGTGTAGTGTATAGTGTAGTGTATAGTGTAGTGTGTAGTGTAGTGTATAGTGTATAGTGTAGTGTGTAGTGTATAGTGTATAGTGTAGTGTATAGTGTAGTGTATAGTGTAGTGTGTAGTGTAGTGTATAGTGTAGTGTATAATGTAGTGTGTAGTGTAGTGTGTAGTGTAGTGTATAGTGTAGTGTGTAGTGTAGTGTATAGTGTAGTGTGTAGTGTAGTGTATAGTGTATAGTGTGTAGTGTATAGTGTATAGTGTAGTGTATAGTGTAGTGTATAGTGTAGTGTATAGTGTATAGTGTAGTGTGTAGTGTAGTGTGTAGTGTATAGTGTATAGTGTAGTGTATAGTGTAGTGTATAGTGTAGTGTATAGTGTAGTGTATAGTAGTGTATAGTGTAGTGTATAGTAGTGTATAGTGTAGTGTATAGTATAGTGTATAGTGTAGTGTAGTGTATAGTGTAGTGTGTAGTGTAGTGTATAGTGTAGTGTGTAGTGTGTAGTGTAGTGTATAGTGTAGTGTATAGTGTAGTGTATAGTGTAGTGTATAGTGTAGTGTATAGTGTATAGTGTAGTGTGTAGTGTAGTGTGTAGTGTAGTGTATAGTGTAGTGTGTAGTGTAGTGTGTAGTGTAGTGTATAGTGTAGTGTATAGTGTAGTGTATAGTGTAGTGTATAGTGTAGTGTATAGTAGTGTATAGTGTAGTGTATAGTAGTGTATAGTGTAGTGTATAGTGTAGTGTATAGTGTAGTGTATAGTGTAGTGTATAGTGTAGTGTAGTGTATAGTGTAGTGTATAGTGTAGTGTATAGTGTAGTGTAGTGTATAGTGTAGTGTATAGTGTAGTGTATAGTGTATAGTGTAGTGTGTAGTGTAGTGTGTAGTGTGTAGTGTAGTGTATAGTGTAGTGTGTAGTGTAGTGTGTAGTGTATAGTGTATAGTGTAGTGTATAGTGTAGTGTATAGTGTAGTGTATAGTAGTGTATAGTGTAGTGTATAGTAGTGTATAGTGTAGTGTATAGTAGTGTGTAGTGTATTGTAGTGTAGTGTATAGTGTAGTGTAGTGTATAGTGTAGTGTATAGTGTAGTGTAGTGTATAGTGTAGTGTAGTGTGTAGTGTATAGTGTAGTGTAGTGTATAGTGTAGTGTATAGTGTAGTGTAGTGTGTAGTAGTTGAAGTTAACCGCCACCTTCGCTGATTCTGCCTCTCTGCCTCGTCGTACCCCCACCCCCCACCCCCCCCCTTGCGCCTCGTCCAGACGCGGACGACAACGCGGAGTCGACGGAAGCCTGCGCAGAGACGCCAGCGGCAGCAGCAGCAGCAGCAGCAGCATCAGCATCATCGTCATCAGCAGCAGCAGCAGCAGCAGCGGTGCCATCGTCATCAGCAGCGGTGCCATCGTCATCAGCAGCAGCAGCAGCGGCATCAGCTGCATTAGCACCATCGTCATCAGCAGCAGCATCATCGGCAGCAGCGCCAGCAGCGTCATCAGCAGCGGTGCCATCGTCATCAGCAGCAGCAGCAGCAGCATCATCAGCAGCAGCGGCACCATCGTCATCAGCAGCAGCATCAGCACCACCACCACCACCACCACCATCAGCGGTTGCGGACGAGCACAGCGCCAGCCCGAGCCGCTGGCTTCCCTCCGGCGCCCGCGGCTCGCGCGGCACGGCGCTCCGTGGCCAAGCAGCCACCGCCGGCACCACCGCCGCCGGCACCGCCGCCGGCTTGGCCGCGGCGGTGCCGGTGACGGCGCTGGAGCTGCTCCTGCAGGAGGAGGCGGTGCGCGACGGGGTGGTGGTGTCCTTCTGCGCCGCTCTCGACTCGCTGCTGGGGGCGGATTCCCACGGGCGCCATCACCGAGCTGTGTGGGGCGCCCGGCGTCGGCAAGACGCAGATCTGGTGAGGCGGTGGAGGAGGCGGTGTGGTGTGGTGGTGGTGGCGGTGGTGGTGGTGACGGTGGTGGCGGTGGTGGCGGTGGTGGTGTGGTGGTGGTGACGGTGGTGGTGGTGGTGGTGGCGGTGGTGTGATGGTGGTTCAGGAGGAGCCGTAGACCAGCGGGGGGAAAGCAGTTGTAGCGGTGAGGTGAGCGGATGAGTGATTGGGTGAGTGGGGTGGGCGGGTGGGTGAGTGGGTGAGTGAGTTGTCGAGTGAGTGGGTGAGTGGGTGGGTGAGTGAGTTGTCGAGTGAGTGGGTGAGTGGGTGGGTGAGTGAGTTGTCGAGTGAGTGGGTGAGTGGGTGGGTGAGTGAGTTGTCGAGTGAGTGGGTGAGTGGGTGGGTGGGTGGCAAAACAACCCCCTACCTCCTCTTCGATGTGCCGGATGGGCAACTCTGTCGTGGACAGTGCTGTGGGGGGAGGTCCAATTGTGATTGGCTCCTCCCCTCATGGCATATGTGTCCACCACAGGGGCTAAACGGGGGCTCTGGACGGGTGCGAGGGGCTGGTAACCCCTCCACCTTCAATTAATTACCACGAAACCACGAGTTAAACTGAAATATGTAACTAATAAGCTTGTGCCGGAGGCCCCGGGGGGCCAGGCGTCTATGACGTCTCCTGGCCAAACCCCAATTGGCGGAGCCAGGAGATTGAATACCTACCCTCGGGGCTACTCCAGAAACAACGAAAAGCCACTACGGGTGGCCACATGGAATGTTCCAACACTCACTGTGGAGGAGAGGCTGCCACTCCTCTGTCGGGAGCTGGACCGGTACCGCCTGGATCTATGTGGCATTCAGGAGGTCCGGTGGACTGGCTCTGGCTCCTGCCACCATGAGGGGTGGACAGTCCTCTACTCGGGGCAGCAGACTGCCAAACAACAGGGTGTGGCTCTTCTTTTGAACAAAAGAATGAAGGGGGCATGGGAGCATGGCGGTGAGGTGTGGGAAGCTGTAAGCCCCAGGATACTTTGGGCTCGCCTGGGGCTTACAGCTTCCCAGAAATGCTCAGCAAATCTGCTCAGCAGATTTGCTGAGCATTTCTTTGAGGTCCTGGGGGAGGGAAAATCCCTCAGCCAGGAAAACATCGTGGCACAAAGTGAGGATGACCCTGCTGAGGCTGCGGTGCCTCAAATATTGGAAGAAGTCACCCCCTGTGAGTGGCTGGCTGAGGTGCCATCTGTTGAGGAAGTACTGGAGGCGATCCGGAGTCTGAGACCAGGAAAGGCAGTGGACAGAGATGATCTCCCAAGCGAAATGCTGAGGGAGGGCGGCGTTTGTGCACAGACTGCCCTATATGACATCATAACAACAGTCTGGACCACTGGACGGGTTCCGCAGGATTGGAAGGATGCCCTGGTAGTCCACCTTTTTAAGAAGGGGGACCGCACAGACTGTAACAACTACAAGGGCATCTCACTCCTCAGTGTGCCGGGAAAGGTCCTGGCAAGGATTATTCAACATCATCGCCTTGCCAGGCACGCTGAGGAGAGGCTTGCGGAGCCCCAATGCGGTTTCAGGAAAGGGTGGTCCTGCACAGATGCAATATTTTCTGTCCGTCTGCTACAGCAGAGGTGTAGGGAATTTCAACAAGACCTACATCTCTGCTTTATTGGCCTGGTCAAGGCCTATGATACCATCAGTAGGCCTGGGCTCTGGGTTGTTCTTCGTGCTTTTGGAGTACCTGACCCTCACGATCATTAAGGACCTTCATGATGGTGAGCGGGCCGGGTAAAACTACGTGGCCGGGAGCCAGAGCCATTCCCTGTACACCTTGGGGTGCGACAGGGATGTCCTCTGGCTCCCAGATTATTTAACATCTATTTTGACCACGTAGTTCGTGAAGCCTTCAATAGCTGTACCGGGGGAATCTCCATATGGTACAGATATAATGGGAGGCTGATCGATGCCCGGGTGCGGTCAAAGGATGGCTCCCTATTGCTCAACCACGTTATGTATGCTGATGATTTGGTAATAGCTGCTCATTCGGAGGAGGAGTTGGAGACGCTGCTCCTGAGACTGGAGCGTGCCACTAAGAGATGGGGCCTTACTATCAGCCCCACGAAAACTAAGCACCTGCCTGGGTATTTTGTACCATCGGACACTTCATCCCCACAACTCCCAATCCGTGATGGGGCAGTTGTGGAGAGAGTGGAGAGTTTCCCATACCTGGGCAGTGTGCTTATGACTGGCTCCAGTTTAACAGCAGAGGTCTCACTCCGAATCAGTCGAGCGGCAATATCTTTTCATCGGTTGCGTAATGCTGTGTGGAAGCTACCTGGTCTGTCGCTCCGCACTAAGCTTCAGGTCTTCTCGGCCACGGTCATTCCCTCCCTTCTCTACGCTTGCGAAACATGGACCCCCCTAATGGAACATCTTCGCCGGTTAGAAACATTTAGGCTGGCCTGCCTACGATCCATCCTGGGTTTAACCAGACTGGATTGTGTGAGGAGCTCACAAATCCTTGAAAGATCTGGGCAAGGTCCCATCGGTGAGCTCCTCCGGCGGGGAAGGCTGCGATGGCTGGGTCATGTAGCCCGCATGCCCAGCCACCGCATGCCGAAACAGCTTTTGTTCAGCCGGATCGAGGGAGCTAAGCGGGCGCGGCACGGGCTAGAAAAGAGATGGAGTGATGTGGTACAGTCGGACGTGGAGCTGAGAGGACTTGCCGATGACTGGTACCAGCGGTGTCAAGATCGGCCTCTGTGGAGGAGGCTCGTGAAGGACGCTACTGGGCAGTTGGAGGCAGTCGCCCTCCAACAACAACGGAGGGCGGAGGAGCGACGCTCACAACAACGAGCGGAGCGCCGGGTGGCTAAAGCACAGCAGGTTGCCACAGTAGGGGGCACAGGTGGTGCATCAGCCAGTCATCTCAGTCAGTCAACCCGTGGCACCTGGGTCTGGCCCGTGACCTCCTACCAGCGGGTGTTCGACACTTCACGTGGCCTCAGGGTGCACATAGCCTGGCACAAGCGTCGTGGTGACGTCACCGCCACTTAGTGGCGAATGGCGGTTGTTGTTGTTGGGTGAGTGAGTGGGTGGGTGGGTGAGTGAGTAGGTGGGTGAGTGGGTGAGTGGGTGGATGGGTGGGTGGGTGAATGTGGGTGGGTGGGTGAGTGGGAAAGCCGGGAGCAGTGGTAGTGTGAGTGGTCTTCTCTAGACAAGGCAAATGTACTCGTGTCTACATGTTGAACTTATGATACACTACACCACTATGCACTACACTACGATACATTACACCACTATGCACTACACTGCGATACATTTCACCACTATTATACTCTACACTACTATGCACTCTGATACACTACACCAATATTATACACTACACTACTATTATAGACTGCACTACTATACACCACTCTATACTCTACACTACTATACACTACACCACTATACACTACATAATACACTGCACATTACAATACACTATGCTACGCTACACTACACACCACACTACTATACACACTACATTACAATACACGCTATACACTACACACTATACACTACACGCTACACACTATACACTACATTACACTATACACTACACTACACACTACACTATACACTACACTATACACTACACTACACACTACACTACACTTTACACTACACTATACACTACACTACACGCTACACTACACACTACGCTATACACTACACTACACGCTACACTATACACTACACTATACACTACACTATACACTACACTACATGCTACACTATACACTACACTATACACTACACTACACACTACACTACACACTACACTACACTACACACTACACTACACACTACACTATACACTACTATACACTACACACTACACTACACACTACACTACACACACTACACACTACACTACACACTACACTATACACTACACACTAGACACTACACTAGACACTACACCACACTATACACTACACACTACACTACACACTACACACTACACTACACACTACACTACACACTACACTACACACTACACTATACACACACACACATAACACTACACTACACACTACACACACACACACACTACACACTACACTACACACACACACACACACACACACACACACACACACACTACACTATACACTACACACTACACTACACTATACACTACACACTACACTACACTATACACTACACACTACACTATACACTACACTACACACTATACACTACACTACACACTACACTACACACACACACAACACTACACTACACACTACACTACACACTACACTACACACATACACACACACTACACTACACACCACACTACACACTACACACTACACACACACTACACTACACTATACACACACACTAACTAACAACACTACACACTATACACTACACTACACACTACACTACACACTACACTACACACTACACTACACTACACACCACACTACACACACACACACACACACATACACTACACACTACACTACACACACACACACACACTACACTACACACTACACTACACACTACACTACACACTACACTACACACTACACACACACTACACTACACACACTACACTACACACTACACTACACACTACACACTACACACTACACACTACACACTACACACTATACACTACACTACACACTACACTACACACTACACTACACTATACACTACACACTACACTACACTATACACTACACACTACACTACACACTACACACACACTACACTACACACTACACTACACTACACACTATACACTACACACTACACTACACATACACTACACTATACACTACACACCACACTACACACTACACTATACACTACACACTACACTACACACACTACACTACACACTACACACCACTACACTACACACTACACTACACACTACACTACACACTACACTACACACTACACTACACACTACACTACACACTACACTACACACTACACTAGACACTACACTACACACTACACTATACACTATACACTACACCACACTACACATACACTACACACTACACCAACTACACTACACACTACACTACACACTACACTATACACTACACACTACACTACACACTACACTATACACTACACTACACACTACACACTACACTACACACTATACACTACACACTACACTACACACTACACTACACTACACACTATACACTACACACTACACTACACACTATACTACACACTACACTACACTATACACTACACACACACTACACACTACACTATACACTACACACTACACTACACACACTACACTACACACTACACACCACTACACTACACACTACACTACACACTACACTATACACTACTATACACTACACCACACTACACACTACACTACACACTACTATACACTACACCACACTACACACTACACTACACACTACACTACACACTACACTATACACTACACACTACACACTACACTATACACTACACTACACTATACACTACACTACACACTACACTACACACTACACTACACTATACACTACACTATACACTACACTACACACTACACTACACACTACACACTACACTACACTACACTATACACTACACACTACACTACACTACACACTACACTACTACACTACACTATACACTACACACTACACTACACTATACACTACACTACACACTACACTACACTATACACTACTACACTACACACTACACTACACTATACACTACACTACACACTACACTACTACACACTACTACACTACACACTATACACTACACTACACACTACACTACACTACACACTACACTACACACTACACTACACTACACACTACATCCTACACTACACACTACTACACTACACTACACACCACACTACTACACACTACACTACACTACTACTACACTACACTATACACTACTACACTACACACTACACTACACACTACACTACACTATACACTACACACTACACTACACACTATACACTACACCACACTACACTACACTACACATACTACACTACACACTACACTACACACTACACTACACACTACTACACTACACTATACACTACACTATACACTACTACACACCACACTACTACACACTACACTACACTACTACTACACTACACTATACACTACTACACTACTACACTACACTACACACTACACTACACTATACACTACACAACACTACACACTACACTACACTACACACTACACTACACACTACACTACTACACTACACACTACTACACTACACTATACACTACACTACACTATACACTACACTACACTATACACTACACCACACACTACTACACTACACACTACACTACACTATACACTACACACTACACTACACACTATACACTACACTACTACACTACACTATACACTACACTATACACTACACTATACACTACACTATACACTACACTACTACACGCTGCGGCGCTCTGCGTGGTGCCAGCGTGCAGCTGGCTGTGGCTGCGAGCGTGCCCGAGGCGCTGGGCGGGCTGGCCGGCAGCGCCGTCTACGTGGACACAGAAGGGGGGTTCATGGCACAGCGCTCCGCCCAGATCGCCCTCGCCGCGGTCCACCACTGCCGGCTCGCCGCACAGCGCCTGGACCACCAAGGTGCCGGCCGCGAAGCCGCGTAGCCACGGTCGTAGCCGCAGCCGCAGACGCAACCATAGCCACAACCACAGACGTAACCACAACCATAGCCACAACCATAGCCACAACCACAGCCATAACCATAGCTATAACCATAGCCACAACCACAACCATAGCCACAACCATAGCCACAACCATAGCCACAACCATAGCCACAACCACAACCATAGCCACAACCATAGCCACAACCACAGCCACAACCACAACCACAGCCACAACCATAGCCGTAACCATAGCTATAACCATAGCCACAACCACAGCCACAGCCACAACCACAGCCACAACCATAGCTATAACCACAGCCACAACAATAGCCGTAACCATAGCCATAACCACAACCACGATCATAGCCGCAGCCACAGCCATAACCACAGCCGTAACCATAGCCGTAACCACAACCATAACCATAGCCGTAACCACAGCAGTAACCATAGCTATAACCATAGCCACAACCATAGCCACAACCACAGCCATAACCACAGCCGTAACCATAGCCACAACCACAGCCATAACCACAGCCGTAACCATAGCCACAACCATAGCCACAACCACAACCATAGCCACAACCACAGCCATAACCACGATCGTAGCCGCAGCCACAGCCATAACCACAGCCGTAACCATAGCCACAACCATAGCCACAACCACAACCATAGCCACAACCACAGCCATAACCACGATCGTAGCCGCAGCCACAGCCATAACCACAGCCACAACCACAACCACAGCCATAACCACAGCCGTAACCATAGCCACAACCACAGCCATAACCACAGCCGTAACCATAGCCACAACCACAACCACAGCCGTAACCATAGCCACAACCACAGCCGTAACCATAGCCACAACCATAGCCACAACCACAGCCGTAACCATAGCCACAACCATAGCCACAACCACAGCCACAACCACAGACATAACCACAGACATAACCACAGATGTAACCATAGCCACAACCATAGCCACAACCACAACCACAGCCGTAACCATAGCCACAACCATAGCCGTAACCACAGCCACAACCATAGCCACAACCACAACCATAGCCGTAACCATAGCCACAACCATAGCCGTAACCACAGCCACAACCATAGCTATAACCACAACCATAGCCACAACAACAGCCGTAACCATAGCCACAACCATAGCCACAACCACAGCCGTAACCATAGCCACAACCATAGCCACAACCACAGCCGTAACCATAGCCACAACCATAGCCACAACCACAGCCACAACCACAGACATAACCACAGATGTAACCATAGCCACAACCATAGCCACAACCACAGCCGTAACCATAGCCACAACCATAGCCACAACCACAGCCGTAACCATAGCCACAACCATAGCCACAACCATAGCCGTAACCACAACCATAACCATAGCCACAACCATAGCCGTAACCACAGCCACAACCATAGCCACAACCACAGCCGTAACCACAGACCTAACCATAGCCGCAACCATAGCCACAACCATAGCCACAACCATAGCCATAACCATAGCCATAACCATAGCCATAACCACAGCCATAGCCATAACCATAGCCATAACCATAGCCATAACCATAGCCATAACCATAGCCATAACCATAGCCACAACCATAGCCACAACCATAGCCACAACCATAGCCGTAACCATAGCCGTAACCATAGCCGTAGCCATAGCCGTAGCCATAGCCATAACCATAGCCATAACCATAGCCATAACCATAGCCACAAGCATAGCCGTAACCATAGCCATAACCATAGCCGTAACCATAGCCGTAACCATAGCCGTAACCATAGCCGTAACCACAGCCACAACCATAGCCACAACCACAGCCGTAGCCATAACCACAGCCATAGCCACAACCACAGCCATAACCATAGCCATAGCCACAACCACAGCCAAAGCCAATGAACAAACACGTGTTGTATGTGTTGAACGAGCGTGTGTTGTATGTAAGTATGTTGAACGTGTGTGTAGTGTGTAGTAGTGTAGTGTCTTGTGTAGTATATAGTCGTGCCGTGTAAAGTGTATAGCATAGTGTGTGTAGTGTATAGTGTAGTGAATATTTAAGTGTATAGTAGTGTAGTGAATATTGTAGTGTATAGTAGTCGTGGATAGTGTATAAGTGTAGTGTATAGTGCATAGTGTATAGTAGTGTGTAGTCTAGCGTATAGTGTAATGTGTAGTGTATAGTGTAGTGTTGTAGTGAATAGTGTATAGTAGTGTGTAGTGTAGCGTGTATAGTAGTGAATAGTGTAGTGTGTAGCGTATAGTGTAGTGTGTAGCATATAGTGTATAGTAGTATATAGTGTATATTGTAGTGTGTAGTGTATTGTAGTGTATAGTGTAGTGTATAGTGTGTAGTGTATTGTAGTGTATAGCGTAGTGTATAGTGTATAATAGTGTATATTGTAGTGTATAATAGTGTAGTGTATTGTATAGTGTATAGTATAGTGTATAATAGTATAGTGTATAGTATAGTGTATAATAGTATAGTGTATAATATTATAGTGTATAATATTGTAGTGTGTAGTGGTGTGTAGTGTATAGTGTGTAGTGTATATTGTAGTGTATAATATTGTAGTGTATAGTGTATAATGTTATAGTGTAGTGTATAGTGTAGTGTATAGTGCAGTGTATAGTGTAGTGTATAGTGTAGTGTATAGTGTAGTGTATAATATTGTAGTGTATAGTGTAGTGTATAATTTTTAGTGTAGTATATTTTGTAGTAGTGTATAGTGATAGTGTAGTTATAGTGTATATATTGTGTGATAGTATAGTGATAGGTAGTGTAGAGGTAGTAGTGTATAAGTGTGTAGTGGTACGTTGGTGACTTTCTGCCCCCGCCCCCTTCCCCTGTAGACGCTCTCCAGGTCGCATCGTCCTTCACGCTGGAAGCCGTCCTCTCCTCCATCCACTGCTTTTCCGCTGCCACAGCCACACGGAGCTCGCCGCCCCGGAGCCCACCTCCGGCCCGACTTCCTCGGGCGGCACCAAAGGTGAGCGGTGGTGGTGGTGGTGGGTGGTGAGCTCACCCGTGAGGGCGAGGGTGAGGTGGGATCTTCTCAAGTAGGGTGCCGAGGTGGCTGGGAGATGTTCACCACCTGCCCGGTCTACAGGAGGTCGTGGGTTCGATCCCCGGACCCTGACGATGCCTGCTGCTGTAGATTTGGAGTCTGCGTCTCTCTCTCATCATCACCACGGTGGCTGGGAGATGTTAACTACCTCGCACCGGTCTACAGGAGGTCGTGGGTTCGATCCCCGGACCCCTGACGATGCCTGCTGCTGTAGATTTGGAGTCTGCGTCTCTCTCTCTCATCATCATCATGATCATCACGGTGGCTAGGAGATGTTAACTACCTCGCCCGGTCTACAGGAGGTCGTGGGTTCGATCCCCGGACCATGACCCTGCCTGCTGCTGTTATATTTGGAGTCTGCGTCTCTCTCTCATCATCATCATGATCATCACGGTGGCTGGGAGGATGTTCACCACCTCGCCCGGTCTACAGGAGGTCGTGGGTTCGATCCCCGGACCATGACCCTGCCTGCTGCTGTAGATTTGGAGTCTGCGTCCTCTCTCTCTCATCATCATCACGGTGGCTAGGAGATGTTAACTACCTCGCCCGGCACGCAGGAGGTCGTGGGTTCAATCCCGGACCATGACCCTGCCTCTGTAGATTTGGAGTCTGCGTCTCTCTCTCATCATCATCATCACCACGGTGGCTGGAGATGTTAACTACCTCGCCCGGTCTACAGGAGGTCGTGGGTTCGATCCCCGGACCCTGACCCTGCCTGCTGCTGTATATTTGGAGTCTGTGTCTCTCTACTCTCTCTCATCATCATCACCACGGTGGCTGGGAGATGTTAACTACCTCGCCCGGCACGCAGGAGGTCGTGGGTTCAATCCCGGACCATGACCCTGCCTCTGTATATTTGGAGTCCTGCGTCTCTCTCTCATCATCATCATCACGGTGGCTGGGAGATGTTAACTACCTCGCCCGGCACGCAGGAGGTCGTGGGTTCGATCCCCGGGACCATGACCCTGCCTGCTGCTGTATATTTGGAGTCTGCGTCTCTCTCTCTCATCATCATCACGGTGGCTAGAGATGTTAACCACCTCGCCCGACACGCAGGAGGTCGTGGGTTCGATCCCCGGACCATGACCCTGCCTGCTGCTGTATATTGGAGTCTGCGTCTCCTCTCTCTCTCATCATCATCACGGTGGTGGTGAGATGTTAACTACCTCGCCCGGCACGCAGGAGGTCGTGGGTTCGATCCCGGACCCTGACTGCTGCTGTAGATTTGGAGTCTGCGTCTCTCTCTCTCATCATCATCATGATCATCACGGTGGCTAGGAGATGTTAACTACCTCGCCCGGCACGCAGGAGGTCGTGGGTTCGATCCCCGACCATGGACCATGCCTGCTGCTGTAAGATTTGGAGTCTGCGTCTCTCTCTCTCTCATCATCATCATCACGGTGGTGGTGAGGATGTTAACTACCTCGCTCGGTACGCAGGAGGTCGTGGGTTCAATCCCGGACCATGCCTGCTGCTGTAGATTTGAGTCTGCGTCTCTCTCTCTCATCATCATCATGATCATCACGGTGGCTAGGAGATGTTAACTACCTCGCCCGACACGCAGGAGGCCGTGGGTTCAATCCCGGACCCTGCCTGCTGCTGTATATTTGGAGTCTGCGTCTCTCTCTCTCTCATCATCATCATGGTGGCTAGGAGATGTTAACTACCTCGCCCAACACGCAGGAGGTCGTGGGTTCGATCCCGGACCCTGCCTGCTGCTGTATATTTGGAGGTCTGTGTCTCTCTCTCTCTCTCATCATCATCACGGTGGCTGGGAGATGTTAACTACCTCGCCCGGCACGCAGGAGGTCGTGGG